ATACCTACATTGTATATGTATATATATGTAAGAACTTGTGCAATGCAAATCATGAGCACGTCAGCGCAAAAGGGAGCAACGGCCATTGGAGCGCGTACTTGGACTTGTTTCGCTCGAAAGAAGAAAAAAAAAAAAAAAAAGGAAAATAGGAACATCAGCAGCGGCAGATCTATCACGTTGTTGTTCCGAAATTACGGGTTGACGTCGAAATTACTGTCATCGGAAAAAACGGATACAACCGTAGCAGGGAACGCTAGATTGAAAAAGAACAAAAAAAGAAGATGAGATAAGAAAAGAAATGGAAAAAAAAAAAAAAAAACAGCTAGATGTCAAGGAAACTTTTCGCTAGTGCACTCTCGTAATGATAGGTATACCTGCTCTCCAGCAGCGCGCGGGTGCTATTTTTAGCCATCGAGAGATCGAAGGGGGACGCAGAGGGGAGGTATCACACGCCATTACACGGAGACACCACCTTTAGGTACACATATACATACACGACCGAAAGTGCATCTGTATAGGCATAATTTTCTTTCCTCCTCTACTCGGCTCCCCTCGCGCACATACACATATACTCACTTATCCGGACAATCTGCGGAGCGCTTATACGCCGTGTCGGTTTCGATCGGCTCGTATAAAATGGTAAATAACTTTCGCGGTGTGATACCCGCGCCATACTGGTACACATTGTTTCCCGCGGTGGCGAGCATAGGTACGTGCATACGTGTATTGGCGACCTTGTCCACGTCGCATCATCATCGGTCGTTCGCAAAGGGACATTTTTACGATCCACCGGATAACGAACAATAAGCTTCGCACATCCCAGAAAAAACGATCGGCGAAAAGGACGAACGTTGATTCGTTGATTTTTACGTAAGCACCGCGGCTCGGATAGTTGTATCCCGATAACGGTTGACAAGTCCGACCAAAGGTGTATTATACAACACTCCGCGCACGAGTGCAGGTATATATATGGGTGTGTATAATGGGTAATAACGGTGACACGTGAGGTAGCCAATTGTAACGTGAAATGTATAAAAAAACACACAGCGTGAGAACCGCTCGAATTATCTTAGTTGGACGAAGCAATTAAACTTCCACCCGGAAAGAAAGTCCATCTCTATAACGTTGTACCCGCTATCTTCACGGCTGAGCCCCAACACACACACACACGCAGCGGGCCATTGTTCAAAAGTACAAAGAATCGATTGCGAGTAGAAAAAAAAAATACATGTATACACCACCCACTACTCTTCTTCTCGTTAACTCCATGTGGGTACGTTTAGGGTCGTGAAATGACGTATTGAATTTCGTAATGCACGTAACTCCTATCAATTTAACGTGCTCCCAATCGCTATTACATATACGTACAGCAGATACTTATGGGTACAATCAATGACGATGGCAATATTTGTAAAGGGAAGAATAATGCAAACAAGTGCAAATTTATCGACACGCGTTGTCAAGAGTAAACGAGTATATTATCGGGTATTGTGCATTGTAACGCATACATTGAGAGGAAATATTTGTCACGGCGGGGTATACGTGTATACAAGATGTACACACACGAATATGTTACTAGAGTCAAAAACCTCTCTTGCAATAGAGACAGATGGACACTCCAATGCACACTTTACAATTCCAGCCCAGCCCATGCAAGTGTATACCAATATGTATATGTATTATTATAATGTGAGTGTCACCGTCTGGTATGCGACGCGTAACACAATGCCGCCAACCTTATATTATGCTCTTTTGTTGCACACGACAATATACTATACCTACTTGCTCTCACGGCTAACAAAAAAAAATATATATATATATTCACGTACACGCACACACTTGGGACGTGTGTATCATATACAATGCCTACGTGCACGCGTGCCCATTTTTTTTTTTTTTTTTTTTTTTTTTTTTTTTTTTTGTTCTAACGGAACTCGAACTCCGCCCGAAGGCGATGACTTATTTTATACATCGGCGTCTATAATAATCCGATGGGAGCCAATGGTAAATTACCTGCACTCGGGCGCAGTTACGATCTAAATCCAGAGGTGCAGCCTTGATCCAACTATCGAATCGCCACGTAGGATTATTAGAAAAATACCCATCGAGTCAAGACGGGTGTCCAACGTTTTTTTGTTTTTTTTTTTTGTTTTTTTTTTTTAAATGTTACAGGTGAGCTCGTCCAATCCGTGTAATAAACGTATCAAGTTTTACGCCGAGAGCAAACTGATGGACCCGAGGTTGGGAAACGTGTACGGTAACCTCACTCCAGCGATCGATACGATGTAATATTGCAAGCTTTTGCGACCCGAGCTTTCCTACGTAGGTTGTAAGAAATTCTTTTTTTTGTTTTCCTTTTTTAAATACAAGGTAAACAACAGACCTCATCGCTGGAGCAACTGTGACGCATAAAACTATTTGCCGTACCGTGGGTTCAAGCAATTTTCGATAAACCCGCTTACGGGGCACGAGAGTGAATGTAGATGTAATTAAAGGCTGTACGGACGATTTTTACGGATCGCGGATTCCAATGGCGATTGATTAGGAGCAGCCATATATTCCGTTCAAGATTGATTGCGTTGGAAAGTTTAAGCGCGGCAAATTAACAATAGGCAATCAAGACGCGTGGCCTACCTCATGGGATTGCAATGCGACATTTTTCAAAATACCATAGTAAAACTATTTTTTTTTTTTTTACATCGCAACCAAATGAGGTACAAAATATATACGCAATTAAAGAAATTGTAGTGGGGATGTTGGGAAGAAAAAAAGCTTACAATTAGCGTCCTGATGTAAAAAAACGAGGCGTCGCTAATTAGATGAACGCCGAGGATGCACGAATACGTTACGTTTTGATACCCAAAAGCTGCACCTGCAGGTAGTGCGTGTATATGCACGTACACCCACAAGATCTCAAGAATTTACCAAACGAGTGCACCTTGTGTGTGTATATGTACCCGCATAATCGAAAACCCGTCCTCTATCTCTTACATCCGCACTTTTCGGTGAAAGTTTGCGCAACAGATGTGTACACTTGCGTATACACATTGTATATCGACCGGCCGGTCCGTGAACCTTTAAGTCTACCGACGCTTTACGCCGCGTTATTTCGCCCTCCGTGTGTTGCGCAACGTACACATCGACAGCTGATGCTTGTCCTTTGGTATTTCGTTTCGCCTTCCACTCCGTGCGACAATAATTTTCAGTGATGTTATATGAATTGGCTAGGTGCACGAGTATATAATATACAATCGCAATGCATCGAAAATCGGTAAAAAATGGGGACCTCGAGTCGAAAACCGGCATGGTTGCGTCACGTCGAAGCATACACTCTGTCGGGTACCCAAAGGGAAAAGGGAAAGAAAATTTCGTCACCTCCCAAGGATACAGAGAGAAAGAGAGATCGCGCTCCCAATAAGCACCTTCGGGGAGGTCGCACGCGGGTTTACCCGCCCCTCCTATAACAGTAATGAACCCACGTCGTATTGTGCCGATGTATTTTTACTCGATTTGATTTTCTTTTGTGTTGCCGACGACGGTGACTGATGATTGTCATGCGTGTCGCACCGGCTAAAGTGCCGGAGGAGGGGCGAGGCTGCGTTTTGCGATTCGAATGGCAAATTGCAGGTGAGAGACGACAGGAGTGAATAAGTGTTGACGCGGCTTTTTTCCCAGCCGATGCGATTTTCGTTGGTCAACAACACATGGTGCATTTCACCCAAAGACGTGATTTTCTAATTACATCACGATGTGGTACAAAGTGGTCGCCTATTGATGAGTCAACCGATACTTTTATTTTATTTCTTTTTTTTTTTTAATCTCTATTTTCTTGACGTAGCAAAAGTACAAGGGGTAGAGTTGCGTGTAGGCAATACATAAATACATAAATATATTCACCATGCGAGGAGAAACGCTCGTTATCGCAGGAAATAAAAAAAAAAAAAAAAAAAAAAAAAAAACGTGCCTCCGGCGATCGTTATCAGTGATGGAAAAACGTTACAATCGGCCGGTGATTATCTTTTCTAATCGACGATGCAAAAAGTAAATGTAATCCTCCCTGAAGACTATAGGATTTAGGATAAATGAATGAGAAAAGGAAATGCCAGTGGGCAGTAGCAAATCACACCGGCTGCCGTTGGTGCATAAATAAACGTTCCTACGACTTCCGATCGGTAATAAATTGGTCAATTTGCTTTTTCGCTGGTTAACAACGTTTGTACAAGATTTCGCGAAAATTTTCATGAACGGCCACCGGCATCCTTTCGAGCTGTTTCATAAATTCATGTTAGCGATCGTTAACGATCCTCGGCGCGTTTGAGAAAAAAAAAAGTAAAAACCCCGATCATACCCATCGGATTCAATAAAACTTCAACAACTCGATTTTCAACGTATCAAAACGCACACGTGTAGGATCAACGTAGAAGAAGAAAAAAGAAAAAAAAAAAAGGCAGAGCAGAAAAGCGTGTCGGATCAAAATGGAGGAATGAGATCAGTCGGACTTGAGGCGCCGGTCGACGGGTGAAATCAAACATTAGCATCGGAAATATATTATCTGCCCACCGGACCTTGAACTCTCATCGGCGCGCAGGTGCATGCATGCGTGCACGAGCAAGTGTACTTTTCACCGCGTGCACGTTTGGCAGAAAGCCGCCGCGCGGGAAAAAAAAAGCCAAGGCAAACTATACACCGCTGTTTATTTATTTTTATTTTTTTTTTTTCACGCGCTCGTATCGAATGAGTAAATTGTATATGAGAAGAGAGTGAAATTTTTCCTCGGCGAGTGCAGATTGGGCACTTGCTGCTGAGAAGAGAAACGAGAGCGCGCGAGTCGAGGTGATGGGAACCTGTTTCGAGGGGGCCAGGCATACCTACTCATTATACAATAGTATATTTATGTAACGACAATGTAAGGACGAGGCGTGGACTCGTTCAACGAAGTGAAGGAATACGCTCGTTTACCCGAACAAAAAAAAAAAATTGCCTTACTCATTGTTAGGATCATGATGGAACAAGCTGAAAACGATATGTGTACAGTAGACTATGTGTATCACGGTGTGACGGGCAAAAATGACGAAAAACACTTTAGATCTAGAGGAAAAAGCCAGCTCTTCACCGTACGCACGCGCTCTTGTTGTTCGAACTCGCTTTTACCCAGCGTTTAATTCGTTAGCCCGATGCTTTGGTCGGGTATACTCGAGGGCTTTCTCTCGCGTCTCGTGAATACATATGAATTAGCGAAACGATCCAAACATCAAAAGAAAACAAGATTATGCACGCGCGATTGCTCGTGAATCTCAAAAGCCTCTCTCTCTAGCGACGAGCTCTGCATACACATTATTGGCGGCACCCGATAAATCGGCGAGTAACTTCATGCGTTGCGTGTACGTGCTGTGCGTAAACGAGAGTGTTTTTACCTGCATTATCACGGCGTACGCAGGGTTAACGACTCTCGCGCTGCTTTCGATTCGAAAGGATTTTCATTTCTTTTCTCCCACCGCCCCTCCATTTTTCTGGCAGCTTTTTTTTGCTTTTTCTTACCTATACGCAGTCTACCCACAAGGAATCATAAACGCAGCCTTACGTAGGGTAAGTGTTGATCGTTATGATACCGAGACAACTTTTTGGTGTATCGTTGCAGCTGCTGATCGGCAGCGTGTGTTGCGCTCTGGCCCAGTACGGCGATGAGCCGGGGACTCCGGTGCCGAAGAAGCCACTGCAGATACCGGGTGCCAGGAGGATCAAGGGCCCGAGATTGGCCGGGCCCACGGCTCAGACTTCGATCGGCGCCAGTCCGAGATTCCGGCGACCGGTACCCGTGATGTAAGCCCACTCTCCTTGTACCTGCGATGAATTAATTCATTGATAACAAAAAAACAAAAAAAACAGCAAACCAAGAGCCCCGGCCTCGGAGCCGATACCCGAGATCCCGGTGTTTACCTCGGGCATCAGGGGCTCGCGGCCCTCGTCTCTCGTCAACCTCGAGCAGAACGACGAGCCGCAGAGCCTGCCGATCCAGGCGATCCAGCAGCCTCACATAGTCCACGCCCAGTCCGTTCCCCAGCAGGGTCTCACCGAGATCAAGCCCGTGAGCGAGGTCCACGAAAAGGACGAGGACGTCGTCCAGGTGATCGCCAATCTCGGGGCTGTCTCGAACTACGGTGCCCAGGGTAACCTCCTCACGGCGACGACTGCCTCGCCAGCCCCCATCTTGCCAACCGCCAGTGCCTATCTGCAGGAACAACAGCAGCACCAGCAACACCAGCAGCAGTTTCAGATCGGCCATTACAGGGCTCTGCAGCCACAACAGCACCAAATCTCCAGGTCGTCGGCCAACGTAGTGCTCGAGCAGCCGGTCGGTACTTTTATCGTATTCTTTTCGCCATAATAATGGTCTTGACTGTTGGTACGGTTGTGTGAAAGTTTCGTGCTCTGTCGTTTCATCCAGAAGCAGATAAACCATCAGGTGATCACGCCCGTCCAGTACAGTAGGCCACAAAAGCCGGTGAGGCTGTCTAAACCGCAGCAGCAGCTCGTCGAGCGCAACGAGTACGACCTGAACGAGGCTCGCCCGGTCGTCAAGCAGAGAGCACAGGTGGCGCCCAAGAAGTCGAAGCCACAGGCCGATTACTACGAGGGCAGGACCAAGAAACCCGTAGCCCAGGTTGGTGGCATTACTTATATACACATTGTACCTGAGAAATGAGAGAAAAAAAGCGGAGCTATCGAGTGACGTACATTGAAAACATATTCACAGGTGATCAGACGTTATCGCGAAGAGATGGCCGACGGCTCGATACTCTGGGGTTTCGAGAACGACGACGGCTCGTTCAAGGAGGAGATGATTGGCATCGACTGCATAACCCGGGGCAAGTACGGCTACGTCGATCCCGACGGTCTCAAGCGCGAGTATACTTACGAGACGGGCATCAAGTGCGACGAGGAGGCGCAGCAGCAACAGGACCAGGATATTCTCAACACGTTCGTCGACTATCAGGAGAACAAGCTCGTGCTGCCCAACGGCAAGACCATCGATCTGAGCAGTATGGGTAAGAAGCAGGCCAGACGACCCCAGCCCTTGTACAGGAATTGATGACGTGTCGTATGCTCATTACTCCTGAAAAGTGCTTGCAAGTACAATATGACGACTGGGACGACGATGAAGAATACATACATATACATATAATTATAATATGGAGTTGACGAGCAGCAGACTTTGATGATTATAAATATTACGTATATTATTTTCATGGTCATGCTGCAGCACAAAAGCAAGGTGTTTGCGATATGTCCATGGGAGATGAGTATATTATATCCTTGATCATTTGTTGAATCGAAAATCGAGAAAAACTGTGTGAAAAACAGGGTCATCTGCAATCAAAAGTGTACATGGTAAAATAATTAATTTTAAACATAAATTAATGGATTTCGTTTCTGTTCACAAATGTTTTACTTCACAATCAAAATAAATCTATCAAGGTCTAGCGAATATTCATTTAGTTGAGATTATTATTAAGTAGACTAGTGTTAAACTCGTTATGATGACTAAAATAAATGTGAAGTAAGTTTAAACAACTACGTAAATAAGATGTAGCTTTATAAGCATTTTAATATTTTAATTGTACATCTAGTATATTTTAAATGTAAAAGCACTTTCGTTTACTTAAACAATACTTAAATGATACCCATATGGTATGGACGCAAAATGCGACTTAAATTTTTTAGTAGTCATAAATAGATGCGTGTGCGTTTCGAAAAACTTGGATGTACTTTTTTATTTGCAACGATTTCGTGATCGATCATTCATTTGTTTGTATCGTATATTCGTATAAAAAATGAAGTAATTTAAAAAAATATGTATTTAAACCTTCATTATCCTTCTCATCCCTATCAATCATGCGTCATTATCTTCGAAAATAAAAAAAAACGATTTTTTACAAAACCAAAATCAAATCAGGATGCTTGATTTTAGGTTATTATTTAACAACAAGATAAAGAAGTAAAGCTCCGATAATTTTTAAACAATTTAGATCACGATTCAAAAAGTAAGTACTTGCAGGGAAAAACACTACAACCCGACCAACGCCACAGATTTTCAATTTTCATTTTCTGGTAAATAGTATGTCAGCGCCATCTAGCGTTTTGGATTTCACGAGCTGACGCAAACTATTTTCTAGGGGAACCGTCTTGAAAAAAACCCTAGATTCTAGGGGTTTCCACCAGAAGTAAATCACTAGATCCCATCACTATAGCGCTCCCTAACGGAGAATTTCCTAGTGTGAATTTTTTAGTTTGAATTTCGCCTCGCGAGATGGCGCTGACTTAAAGGAAAAAGCGCGCAAATGCAAATACTACCAATGATGTAACCGTTATCTACAATGATAAATAAACAACCACACAAGTAAAGAAAAGTGCTAAAGTTTATACGCTATTGCCTATCGCTGATGTGCGTGTATAAGGTATGTACTCATGCCAGTAGACAATACTTACTTCTGTAAGTAATTTTGGACCTTGGAATAACCACATACACTTCTACCAAGATCGAACCGATTTAATCCAACAACTAAACGCTGTATAAATACTTATTGTTGTTATAAATTTGTCGATTTGATTTTGCAACGTTGGACTTCAAAAATATATACGTATATGTATACTTATATGACATTTGCTCTCCCGCATTTTCCTGGACGCCTGCGGAGCCCGGAGAGACGTCTGCTTGTTTACGTCCAGCGAGAGTGCGAGCGGGAGTACAGCGACAAGTAACCTCATTCACGTGGACTTTTGTTATATTTAATCATTCCATAATGTCTAACAATCTTCAAAACAAGAAACGATATTATTGGAGGGGAAGACTAGTTACAGAAAAAGTTTACAAAAATAGATTGCGTCTATCTGAGCTCGCAAAAATCATGAATAAAAATAACGGGTGCAAGGAAAAGTGTAACCTAACAAACGAAGACGACAATCAACAAAAAGATGTATTACTAGAGGGACGTCGTATCGTTCATTTAGAAACACTCGCTGAACAATTAACTTGTCAAGAATGTGGTGCAATACTTTCATTGATTGATACCGAGGCCGAAGAACGTATTGGGTTAGCATCTTTGCTCACCATCAAGTGTCGACAGTGTCAGAAAAGTGCGATAGTATCTACAGATATGAAACACGAACCCATCGGTCAAACGACAAAAAGGACACGGCCGCCTCTCAACAAAATTAAAACCAGATCATCAACAGGTACTTGTATACATATCTATATGTTTAAACTTGGTACCTGGAAACACTTTCCTGGCCAAAATAGTCTATCAAAAATTTTATAGGTATACAATATTTTGTTATTGAAACGGTAGTTCATGAACTACAGTGTCAAATATTTTTAATGAAGTTTAGTTAATTTTGTAAAAAAGCTTTTTAATAGAATACTTATTAAAATATTGTAATATTTTTTTCTATTGGCTCATTACATTTTTCTATAATTTTACATAGTCAGTTCTGTAAAGTTTGTCATTGATTTTTTATATTTATGTAATTATTTTAGGAATAAAAAAGAAAAAAAATGAAGAAACAAATTGTCAAGAAACAGTCACATGTCAAAATACTAAACTAAAAGCACCAGAGGGTAATGATGAACCAGAAACACCAAACAAAGAGAATGTCGAGGAAAAATTAAGCGATAGTTCTGAAACTGCAAATATATATACGCATTATTTTGAAGAAAAATACTTTGAAAATCATTACGTAATCAACGTTGGAGATTTTTCACCTGGTTGCTCAAGTGAGTCAGGTGATGATCTAAACAATTCAGCACAAGATCCTCTTGCGTTGTGAAACAAGTGTTTTTTAAATATTATACTGCCCTTTTGTGAACAGTTGTGTGAATAATTTTATGAGTTGACAGTAAAAGGAACTTGACTGAAGTAAAATGTTTCTTTAATATCATTGACATACATGGACTGTAACTAAACCATTTGAGTAACTACAATTGGAATTGTTAAGCAACATTAATTGTAATCAACTTTATAATTATTTAAGTAATTAAAATACGTATACTTACATTAACATATTATGATTACATTGGATAGTGTTGAATAGTATATCAGTTAATTTTTGTATAAAATGTAGCATACAATTAATGCTAATCCTTGCAGTATGGTGCACAATTACTATTACCACTAAGACGTAAAATTATTGAAATCCATTAAACTGTAATGAGTTATAAACCAACATAACTTATGTTTTAACTGCATAAATTGTACAAGTTAGAAAAGTAAGTGTAGTTAAAAAGTATGTACAAAAACAAACTATTAGAATTATTTTGGTGAATGATGACAAAAAAGTTGTGTAAAATATTGTATTTTTGAAAATAAAGTTAACAATAGGAATTGTATGGAAAAAAAAAAAAAAAAAAAAAAAAAAAAAATAGATATGAATATTTATTAAACATAAGAAATTAATAAGAGGTAAATCAAAATCGTTCGTTTAATATTGTCACACCTTATTTTTACAAGGCTCCATATAAATATTGCTTCAAAACAGCCGTATTTTGGTCCCAAATGTTCCGCAATAGAGATTGGGTTACAGATATGAATATTGACTTGTTACTTGTATACCAGTTATTTAAATCCTCTCGATTTTGCTACGATAACGTGCAGTATCATTTTGAATTCCTAAAATTTATTGCTCATTCGCAATTATAAGGTGAGGGAAAACAGCTGTTTATAAAAACTCATCTTTCAACAGTTCAACTTGTGTGCATTCAATTTGTTTTTTTTTTTTTTTTCATTTCCTTAAAATCTCTGTAAATAAATTGGTGCGTTAAAAAGTATCTTCTTGCCTTTAACAAGGATCGAGGTATATTCGACATTAACTTTGCATAAAAAGAAAAACCTTTCAGCTTTTGTGTTACTCCAAAAAAATATGTTCTTGCAAAATACGCTACACGAGTAACACGAGAGAGATGATCGGTAATCGGTATACTGCAGACAACTTCATTGACACGTGATGGTTAAAAAACGTACGCGTTGCTAACTTCATTGTGCTCCAAAACGATCAAAATATATAGATATAGGCTCAACAGCCAATAGCATTTAAGATTCCGGCCGCCGCATAAAATACACGTCGACGGTTACCGGGCCTGCACTTCTTCGTTGTCGCTGTGTACGTTGCGTTCGTCAATTTTTGAGACGACTCCGCGAAAAGGGATAAGAGGACGCGCAACAATTGAGCTAGGCTCGCGTGCTTGTCAAAAATAGACGCACACAGAATCACGCAAAATGAGGTGCCAGGCGCTATTCTTTCTGCTCTTCGTCGCACCAGCTGTTATCCTGACGACCTGCCAAGGTGAGTCTGCTGCGGGTATTCGTTCCAGATGTCACGCATACACACCTCTACACACGCGGCCTTGCTAACATGAAACTGTGACGTGTCGATTATTTTTGAGGACCGATAGGTTTTGTGATACCTTGTCGGAGGACAATCTGCAGATTACTTTTCAAGTTGTTCCCGAGGACCTGTTCGCGGATGTTGAGGTTGGAAATTGACACGTGTAGGCTTCTGCTCTCCCACGCACTTGTTTGTTAAACTTTTTTTGCTTGTTTATCAATTTTTTTTTTTTTTTTTTTTTTTTTTTTTTTTTTTTTTTTTTTTCTCATCCTGGAGCAAAGTGCAGTAAAAGCACAAGGTTATTGTTGGGGTGGTTTAAGTATTCAAGTGAATAAAGCAAGATGCTCCAATTTTCAGATATAAAGTGATTTGGCAATAGCTGTAACGGTCTGGGAGTCTCGGTACTTTCCTTTTATTTATAGACAATATTGCAGCTAGAGCAGGGATATATTAGGTCAGAACGTCTTCCCTATAAAATTTGCTATGTTTCCAACAGTGGTACAAGTCTATTGTCGAGCTCCAATATTGAGTCATATGTTAGGAACTGTTACATTTTCATGAATGAGAAATGGGCTGGTTACGAATAAATATCAATTCTTATGGTTTACAGGAAGTGGATCAGTCGTGAATGCTCAAGAAGATGACATTGACGACATTGTTGATGTCGAGGGGGAAGAGAGTGCCGTTGTGGCGGATGAAGAAGTTGAAGAAGAAAAAGCCGTGACGACTTCCAAAGATATCAATACCATGATACTCTTTACCGAGCCTGTGCCGAAGCCGTTATCTACTATGGGTGGGTTATCTTTCAGTAACTTTATTTACATATCATTTATAGACACTGAGTGTTTTTGATTGATTTAATTCTTGATAATAATATTTACGTGTTTCATTCTACAATAGAACTACCAGCTGGAAAACCTGTTGAGTTCTTGATTGGCTTCATCAACAAGGGTGAAATCGATTACATTGTTGAAACTGTTAACACCTCGTTCCGTTATCCAATGGACTTCAACTTCTACATTCAAAACTTCTCAACGATTGCTTACAACAAGGTTGTCAAGCCTAATCACGAAGCCACTCTCGCCTACTCGTTTGTTCCATCTGAAGTTTTTGCTGGAAGGCCGTTTGGGCTCAATGTTAACTTAAACTACCGAGACATTGTGAGTGTCGCGTTTGGTCCAGTAGATTGAATGTATGTTGATTTACATAAAAAAATATCCCTGATTTCGTTGTAATATGATTTGCAGAATGGTATTTCCTACAATGAAGCTGTTTTCAATGAAACTGTACAAATTGTAGAATTGGATGAAGGTCTTGATGGTGAGACTGTTTTCTTGTACATATTCTTAGCAGCATGCGGTGTTTTGATTCTTGTTGGAGGGCAGCAGCTCTTATCTTCCTTTGGAAGAAAAACTCGCTCATCAACTCGCAAAGTTACTGTTGAAGTAGGAACATCTAATCCCAACAACGTTGACTATGACTGGATTCCTAAGGAGCACATAAGGCTCAGTAAGTTTTTTTTTTTTTTTTTTTTTTCAGTAAAAATTTGAGTTTTGCACACAATACATTAACTGATGATTTAAATTTACTTGTAGACAAGTCCCCTAAGACTCCAAGACAGAGCCCAAGGCAAAGGAAAGCCAAAAGATCAGCTGGATCAGATGATTGAATTTCTGTGTAACTATGGATATTGTTAATTTAATGCAGCAAGGAAACAGATAATAAGACTTACATCATGTTATTTGTAATAGAAAAAATATTGAAATTTTTTACTTAGAGAGATACAATGAGATCCTTGCTTAAAATTTTCATTAAGGTGTGCTGAAGCGGCATTTTTGTAAAAAATGTTGAACTGCACCCGTGAACAAATTTTATTATCTAGGTAATATAAACAATTGCGACTAAAAATGGAAGTACAATAATCGTGGTGTTTCTATTTGATAAAATAAACTTTTTTACAAATACTCTTAATACAACTATCCATCATTGTGATAAAACATTACATAATAGGAAAGCAAAGGAATGTATATTATCTATCTTTAAAACAAGCACGTGCAAATATTTGGGTTGGAAATGTTGAAAAACTTTTTTTTCACCCATGGTACATTCCACTTTCAATTCAGATGCAAGAATAAATGCAGACTGGATTTGTTTTGAGTGCTTTACATTCATTTTCATTTCTCTATACATATAATAATAATAATTCTTGAATATGTGTAAATATTTTGAGTGTTGAGTGAAAGTTTATTAATATTGTGTTGAGTATATAAACATTTGTAATAAAATTTTATTCTTACAAAACAAATAAAATGTTTTTACAAAGGGTCAAATAAAGCGTTTTTATTACATTATTCTCGATGATTATACTACGTAAGTACCTACCAAGTCTGTAATGAATTAAAAGTTGCAGCGTCAGGTCGGATGTAAATTCCAATCTGAGGATTGAGACATTATCTAAAGCTATCTAAAAACATTCATTCAGAAAACAAGAAACAGTTTTCAACTAACATCTCATCTAAAGTATAACTACGTACAACATTTATGATTTATCTCAACCCTCAGTAATTTTATCATCAATAAATTAATACTTATGGGTACTTAACTTACTTGTAAGACGAAAAAAATATTTTTGACAGCATATCACAATAGTACTGTATAATCACATGAGAGGCGCTCGCACAGTATCGTAAATCGTAAATCGTAAGGGGCCTTGCTGAATACAGACGTCTTTTCGTAAACGCGACGCGACGCGGTTGGACGTGATCCGATATCCGATCGTAATCAGGAGACATCCGCGGTTTCCTGACATTTGTTTAACAAACAAACTACCAAAATGCCTCCTAAATTCGATCCCAATGAAGTCAAGAAAGGTATTTTTCAAAAATCAATCGAATTATTTGGTGTACTTGACTTTTTAATCATGTGTATTAATGGCTCGTTACTTGTTATTTTATAGTGTACCTGAAGTGCGTTGGTGGTGAAATAGGTGCCACTTCATCCCTTGCCCCTAAAATTGGTCCCCTTGGTCTGGTAAGTTCATCAATAATTTTATAATTCAAAAGTTCATTTTTTCCATTTGTGTCACCTAACCTAAGATGTAAATCACATGTATTACTCGCCGCGTGCCACTGTCTGCTGCACGCAGAGAACGTATACTCTCGTCCTCTAATTTTCATTATCTGCTGCATGTCCCTCCAGATGCAGCGTTTTTAAGTTATTCCATGTAGCAATATTGAAAAATCCACTAATTCAATGTTTTGTCAACAGTCTCCCAAAAAAGTCGGTGATGACATCGCCAAAGCAACCAGTGACTGGAAGGGCCTTAAGATCACAGTCCAGCTGACAATTCAGAACAGACAGGCTACGATATCAGTCGTACCGTCAGCTGCTTCCCTGATTATCAAGGCTTTGAAAGAGCCACCCAGGGACAGAAAAAAAGTAAAAAACATCAAACACAGCGGTAATTTGTCGTTTGATGAAATAGTCTCGATTGCTCGTGTCATGAGGCCGCGATCAATGTCCCGTGAACTCAGTGGTACCATCAAAGAAATTCTTGGCACGGCACAGTCTGTTGGATGCACAGTTGAAGGAAGGCCTCCACATGACCTGATCATGGATATCAGCAGCGGAGAACACGAAGTGCCGGAAGAGTAAATGGTGGGTATAGAGTCCTCAGCTCGTCCTTTTAATTGGCATTAAGGTTATTCTAAGAAATTCAATTATTGTATGTGTGTCATTTAGTTTTCGGCTTTTACTATTTATCATATCGGGATTTTGAGAACAAAAAAAGCTCATTTAAATTACTTATTCATTGATCGATTATTCTGATATCAATTAAAAGTGAAAGCTTTGGACTCTTGGTAGGGGTTGGCATCCCATCCACCTGTTCGGATTTGATTCGATCTTATCAATCCATCAGGCACCATAGCCATTGGGGAGTAAACCCCAATAAAAAATCATTTTTATGCTTCATGTGAGTTATAATTATAAATTTCTCTGCCTTCATTATCAATGTATTTAATCTGTCCTCATCGATGGTTCATACTTCTCTTTCCCATACATTTATTTTAATCTGTAAATCACCTACATAGCACCAGATTTTAAAGGTAATTCGGTTGTTCAAAACAAAATGAAATTCATGATTATAGCTTAAATTGAAGTAGTAGTTAAGAAAAGTGCCCAAATACAAAATTTTATTTTTTTTTATTACAGCCTGTCAACATCTTTGGAAATAAAAAAAAATTTGTTTATAATCATATCTTATTCATTAACCTTGTTTTTTTACCCTCCAGTCTTTCCACTTATTGATTACGAGTTCTGAGGTTATAAGTTAATATAATTCAATCATAATTTAATAGAAATGTTTACTCTAATAATATTCACAATAAATATGGTTCCTTTTTACTTAAAATTTTCTTGAAATCTTGAAACATTTACCATTAAAAAAATCAAAGATGTATAGGATAATTTTATTAACATAATTACAGTTCTATAAGGGTATGTAATAATGATTGTGTTCTATTTAATAATTTAATGACAGTGGTATCCATAACAAAATTACTTATCCTTCTTTGTTGGAACTCCTTGAGCTGCAGAATCTCTGAAATTGGGAAACTGTTCCCATGGTGCTGATAAGTCGAATTTCCTGTATTCTTGTGTCAACTCGAGTGGTTCACAAACAACTCTCCTCTTCTCGTCATCATATCGCACCTTAAAAAAATTATCAGTTAATTTTCATGTACCAATTTGACCCTGTTGATAATTAATATAAATTAATTTTGTTTTTTTACTGCTCCACACCTCAGTGTAACCAGTGAGAGGAAAATCTTTCCTCATAGGATGTCCCTCAAATCCGTAATCAGTGAGAATCCTTCTCAAATCGGGGTGATTTCTGAAGTAAATACCAAACATATCCCACACTTCGCGCTCATACCAATCAGCAGCTTTGTGTATGAAATAAATAGAATCAATTGGTGTCAGTTCATCTGTGTAAGTTTTAACACGAATTCGTGTATTGTATCGAATTGAAAGCAGTTGATAAATAAGCTGTAAGCAATGAAAAAAAATCAGTAATTTTTTTCAGTGATAAACCAAACCAACTATATTAGACATACCGACATACCTCGAATCTATACGGTCTGTTAGGCACATCAACAGCAGTGATGTCTGACAAACTTGTGAACTGAGCATTGTGGTGGTAGGTGAGGAAACTAATAACTGGCACGATACCTTCTGGTGAAATCATTACCTCCAATTCATCACGAGCTGCTATTTGCACCTTCTCCACATACTTTGGCATGCACTCGGCCACATAGACTCCAAAGTCCTTCAACTCTCCTACTCTGTCTTCATTAATCTTCCGGATGGTAGCTGTAACATTTCATTTATAGTCTTAATACTTGGCAAGAAAAACAAAATAATTCCGTATTGTCAATATACGTAAACATTGGACTTAAAAAGTGAAATAAAAACAGTAGTTTGCATAATCCATTTGAAGTACACTTGACGAACGCACTAACGGTAGAGTTGATTTTAAATTTCTCAATGAAACAAAAGCAACAATGAGTCCATATTTATAACACATTCACTCACGTTGAGTATCAGCAGGCTCAGTTTCCTTCTCAACAGTCCTCAAAAAAGAGGAGGCCGAGATGTAACCTAAAATACCAAAACAAAATCCTCGTTACATAATAAAACAAATTCGGCCCAGGAATCCGACTCATTTACTCACGCTGTGCCTGGGGCTGCCTCCTCGCGAGGGTTTTGATAGCCGCGAAGACATTTCTCATGGCAAATGCCATTTTACGAGCGAGAACAAAAACAACACTGTCGTCTGCGGTTGATCGCGGATGGAAGATCGCTCCAGACGACAGTGGAGGACTCGACCGCAGCGCCACCACTAGGGAGATCGTGGCACTTCTCACTGGTCACGATGCGCGCGCACTCCTTGACTTTCGAACACTTTGCGCGCCATTCGAGTCCACACGTAACACGTATACATATATATGTATATGTGAAACACACGCTTGGGGGGGGAGAGGGGGTCGACTCGCTCTGTCTTTGTTGAATGAAAAAAAGTTTGCGGCTTGGCTTGCTCTACTGCTCTCCTGGCTTTATGGAGGATCTGTTTTGGTGTGTTGTTTTGCTTCTCGCATCTTCGCTGCTGCTCTTTTTTTTCTCCGCCTTTTAAATTCTGCAGAGAACCTACGAATTTTCATAAACAGGTGTGTTTTATTGTGCTGGTTAAGTGAACAAAGTGGTTTGTGGTGTGGTGATGATTAACTGACCGGAGACTCGAAGGACGATTGACTGTGCGTGTAGGGACACAACAACAGAGCGTTCGGTCGGACTGTCATAACCTACAAGTTTTTTTGCTCTGGACTTTTTTTTTTTTTTTTTCTTTCTTTCTTCTCTCTTCCCTCTTTAAGTGACTTTTGGTGTGTGCGGACTTGGTGAACGAACTGACTCTTGACTTTTTATTCAAACTGACAATTGTGGATCGCCTGAAGACTCAAGTGGATGTGCTGATGTGATGGTTGAGGATGGATAGTGTGTGACTTTTTGAAATGAGATGGCGGATGGGTGAGGATGATGCGAGAATAATTAGAAAAGCCGATGGTCGCTGACGGTATTGTTGCAACATAACTATAAGGTAAGTCTTTTTTGTGTTCTCAATGGTTCTCATGATTATAAGTATTTTGCCATAACTGTTTTTCATGTACAATTTTAACCATAGCTTCCATAAATCTTCTCTTATCATCCAGAGCAATTAGAACAACTCCATGTAAATTAGCGTATAATTGTAAGGTTAGAAATGAAGCGTACACTCGTCATTGCAGAACAGCTTGCGCACGACGCGCAAAAAAAGATGCAAAAAATGTTCCCACCCGATTACCAGTTCATTCACTACGTTAAGTAGCTAATTGCATTGGTTTTCGCCTAAACTATCGTGGCAGTACCTTACTGTTGAACCAATTAGTTGTATTAAAATACGTAATTGCGACATTATGACCACTTTGCGATTCTTATCAGCGTCGAAAATAAGTGTACCTAAACAAAACACGGTGCAAAAAATATGTTCCCGTCAGCGTGTACGGCTCTAAGTGTCTAAAAAAATGTAAATCTGTTCAAGTGTTTATGAAAAATCAGTCATGGAAGTAAGTATTCGCATCATTGCAGCATCTCGGAGCGTTTGAAAAAAAAATCTCGGTCGACGCGGTGATCCAAACGGTACGTTTGACCAGTGCAATCCTTATCGCGCCGGGTTATAAAGTTTAACGGACTTTGGGAAGAAGTTGCAGTGTGCGCTCTTACGTACAGGAAAAAGCTCGATTTTAACGAAATTCTTCTTTGCAGGTATACAGCTAAGTTTTCTTTCATGGGGCCTAGGGCCAGCCCAAGATGTCGCCGCATTCGCCCGTTACCGTTACCAGTGGTATGTTTCACTGAAGCCTTATCATATTGTAACCATGTAAACATATATATATATATGTCCTCTACAATATTGATCCTTATCAGAATTATCCGATGGGGGAACGCCTTTGATATTACCGGCTGAGTAAGAAAATTTGCCATCGCATTACCGCCTATCGCCGGGTACCTACCAACTGCATTACTGGCAAACCGCGAGCCTTTTATCGTCTGCAGTTGGTGTCTGAGAGATGTCGCTAACTTTACGTTTCTTAAACGAATTTCCGAGTTTAATTTGACGTGCAAACTTATTTGATGATGTTTTCCGGTTCTTTGAGGAGCTTTTACGCGGTGCTTACATTGGAATTTCAACTAAGTCGGCTCATAAAAGTTTGTTGTTTTTCATCCTTTTTTTTTTTGTTTTTTTGTTTAAGAGGCTGAGAAGAGATGTAAACTCTTTTTTTCATTCATCGTTTTCAACGAGTTGCGTTGAAATTCGGTTTAAAATACGTTTGTTACGAAGACTCGCTCATCAATTTGATGTTGTAAATATCTTTTCCGACCCTGAAAACTTTCGTTCAATTCCACAATATAGCTCGCAAATTCGACACACCGCGTATCCAATATGGTTTCTTATCACCGGAGAAAGTTTGTCATTCTTTTCGTGAGGAAATTAGCTCGTGACGTTTAATCAACCGTTCCCGTGAATTTTCCGCACTTTCGACGATGATAAGGCCCGATTTTTTTCTTAGTAACGAAAAGCGTCACTCTTGGGGTCTCATATGAAACTATGATTACCAAACAGCATAGCAGTGCCCGATTTCTTACTCTGTATGGTTGATAAAGAAAAACAACAGTAGATACCCAAGCAACCGATTTTCGCTCTCTTGATGATATGGTTATTAAGATTATCATTACAAGCATAAAACGATAAGCTGAAGAAATTTACGGTTGAGGCAAGCACAATACGCACGTATTAGCAAAATCAGACAACCAAAGTGGCGACTATTTTGAAAATGAGTTTTTTTTTATTTTATTTTTTTCAAAAATAAGATAGCCGAGTGCGCCAGCACAGAGAGACAGCCTCTTGGGTCTTTGACCTGCAGCACGCGCTCGCGCAAACGGCGCTTGATTCACTTGACACTACCACCACCACTACTTCTAGGTACCATTACTACTGCTTCAGAGTGAAAGAGGGGGAAAAAAAGAGGAAGAAGAGGCAAATAGACGATTTATTACGTGTATGCACGAGGATTGCTAGCGAGGGCCCTTTTCGCGAGCCGAAAATTAATGCCCTTGCGACGAGATTTTCCAAAAATGACTTTGAGAAGAGATATATCGTTTTGAAAAACGACGCGAGCGGCATCATATCTCGGATCTTGTACTGAATTAATTACACACGTAATTCAATTAACGCGAGGTCCACTTCACCAAACCCTGTTTTTTTTTTTTTTTTTTTTTTTTCTTTTTACTTGCCGGGTTTTACTGTCATCTCGTAATCGACTCTCGTGTTATGTACACTTTGTAAATCGTAATGAATTTTCTGATCCTCGACGGGCGCCTGCGGTCCAGCGCTGTATAGCCTCCGTTTTCCTTATCACTGGCAGTCGTTTACGTAAACGTGTTACCGTCGAGCGGATACCGACTCTTTTAGTTGCGCGAAAGGAAAAAAAAAACCTCGAGAAAAATCATAGAAAGAGATGTATCGGCGCGACGACGAACGAGAAGAGTCGTAATTTCACCGCGTGGGTATATATTACGGGAGAGCAGAGTGTACTCGCGGGAGAGCAGCGAAAGGTGGTCTATCTTTAGCTGGTTTCGTCTACCTCGAGCCACGGGCTAATCCTAGCGCCGCTGCTGGTACTTGCACTTCAAATCGAGCCGTAAAATAATTGTCTCTCTGTTTTTAAGCCCAAATTTGATACTTGAGTTTCAAGGGAAAAGAATTGGAGTGCTTTCTTACGCAGATACTCTGCACCATATCTACTAATTGTGTGATGAAAATGTTTTGCACTTCAACCATCGCTTGGGTAAATAGTTTTTTTTCGTTTTTTAGAGCTGATGCCGATTTGATTTAGTGAATAAAAATGTAGGTAAGTATACCTTTGTAATAATGAATCATCTTTGCCAAAAACTAACGCGTTTCTCAGCTTCCTGATCATGTATGTTTAAATACTGTATCTCATAGGACAAAATAAAAAGATGATTAATGTCGAAGTTGATGGATGTTCAAATTTCTCTTATGTACCACGTACTGTTACTGACTGAAATTTTTCTGTTGCACCTATTTTTTTCTTTATGAATTTTTTAAATACTGTTATCGCGCAAAAAGTCATTGTGCCACTGGTTACTTGTATTCACAGGTCATGTAATCTAATAATTATTACCGTAGGTAACGTAGAAAAAACACCTACGTCTCTTTGTACGATCAACAAAACTGTATTCGTACAGTTAATTTAGATCCACAAGAGACGACACAAGACAGCATACAACACAACGAATGAACTACTTGAAAAGCTACACATATAATGCATCTGTACAAAAATATATATGGTTTTATTATACCTTGAACATGATAAAAGTCATTAAATTTTGTTTTAGTTGTCCTTCCAAACTTTTTGTTGCCAGCTACTTTGACCTCAAAGTTACGTATGTTCAACGAAGTTCAATTGTTGTTAAACCGCCAAAAAGCAACCCGAGCTAGTCACCGATGACTATCGATTCGTCACTCGATAATAGCAGATACTCGTATATACTCTTGCCCGCGTGTTATGGACATGATCCAGCACCACTGTCAGTTTGCCCGACACTTTCCGAAGTCACGCTTTTTGAAAATTCTCAAGTCGAGGTTTGAAATTTAAATACCACCAGCGTGTGCTTTAAAGCTCCCTTCGCCAGTCCCCCCCACCCCCACCCCGGCAACGATACGTATATTAACCGGCCATTATTCTTCCCTCGAACCGCTACACGTTTCGCGGCGCAACATCAATCATCCGACCGTCCTTGCCCCCCCGGTAAAATTTCAATTAGGTGGGGCAAAAATTTTTCATCAGCCCTTTCCAGTGACAAAATCCCCCCGTATGGGTGGATGGTCGAAAGAAAACATTTTTTTTCCTCCCCCCAACGTCTTACCGGTGATCGACTCAATTCTACCATACAAACCATCGCGGGGTAAAGTGGACCCTCTCATCGAATGTACATACAGTTAAAATTCACGTTCTGCTCGGCTGGCCCTCGTGGAAACCCCTCCGCGATAAACAAAATTCGCCGGCGGTGGTGGCCGTGAATCATTCGGGCGCGTAAATCGGAAAAAAAATCTTTTTGGCTCTGAAAAATAAAACCGAACTTTCGGTGTGTGTGTGGGGGGGGGGGGTAAAAACTGAACCGGGAAAAAAGGAAAAAAGCTGCATACGCAGGGTGGTGTACAGGTACTCTCTGAGCCGAAAACA